AAAAAAGTTAAGGTTTGTCTCACATAGGAAGTTGATGAAATTTAAAACCACTTTATAAAGGATTACACTTTAGAGTGGTGTAATCATGTGTAGCATAGAGGCTCTCTCCACGTGCGTGCGCACAGGGGGGTGCAAATCTTGGATCGAAACAGGCTTCGGACCTTGAACTTGTGTGCGGGCGCGACCTGCGTACACGAATGTCGAACCGAAAGGAGCAAAATTTCCCCCTTAGAAGTGTCCACGTTTTGCTACATTTTTGTTAATTTTTCAACAGACTTTTGGTTTTCTAAAACTCTTGAAACTCCTATGTTAATTACCATTTGTTAATGAGCAGGTTACAAGAGTTAGCCTTTATATATGTCTCGTTTTTCCATTGTCCATACACGAAAAATTCATCTGCATATTCATCTGCACACAGTTCCCGTTTCTTTGCATTTTTCGTTTCTGTTCGAGTCTGGTGGTGATATATTTCAGACACAGAATCAGTTCGCCAGAGTAGAGTCTGTTATGCTCGGATTTTACTGGTTCCTCAATTGTATCCTGGGAAGCAGACGCTCGTACTATCCTCAAGCACGTACGGTGAGGGGGCGAATCTGTTTTAAAGAAACTATGTATGACACAGGCCTCGAGTTAAAAGTGTTATACTATTTTATTTGTTCTTACTCGATTTTGATATTGTTAAATTACTTGTTATTTTTGCTGCAATCAACAAATCGTTGGATTTGTTATATGTACAGATTATTATACGATATCCAGTCTGTAAATCTGATATTCGATATTATTTGTTATATGTACAGTTTATTATAGGATATCCAGTCTGTAAATTTGATCTTCGATATTGAAACAATTATTATACAGCTGCAACTTCGTAGCACTATGAGCAATTCTGCAACTTTGCTCTTTTATATATAGGAGGGAAGTGAGAACTCGTATGCTTAGTTTATGAAAAGTTGAGGATCATTAGAGTAATATCTCCTCGTCTCCAAAATGTTTCTCATAATTACACAAATATCCCCTTCCCTTTTCTTTTCCACCAAGCCTCGCTGCTCTAAAGCCCTCTCTGAAAAAACTGTGGTAATTGAGTGTGTTTGGTAGATATTAAAATCGAATTAAAATTGAAAAATTAACCATTATTGTTGACTTTTATTAGACGGGTGAGACCCAAAAACGGCTATATTTTCAATTTTAATAGAATTTTTAGTGTTACCAAACAAGCTCTTAATTGTGTCGTGCTCGACTCTCCATGAATTAAAATTTATTTTTCTCACATTCTTCAATAAAAAAAATATTGCACTAGAATTTTTAAAAAAATTCCATTTGTCTTTTAACGACGCTTTCTCCGAAAATTACTGTTGCTCTCTTAAAAGGTCATCAATATTTTCAAAATTTCCACATATAAATCGATATTACGCATTTGTGTATGTTTAAACTTCATAAGCTCTAAATGTATTTGTAATTTCAGCTCTTAATTGTTATAATAGCATTTGATTTTTTCTTGATTAGATCAATTTGGAAGAATAGTTAGTGAAGATGACTATGGAAGCAATGGAGATGCCACCGAAGGGTGGGTTCAGCTTCGAATTGTGCAAGAGGAATGACATGCTCGTCAAGAAGGGTTTGAAGGAACCCTCATTTCTCAAGACTGGGACCACCATTGTGGGCTTAATTTTTAAGGTGATTGAGATATTTTCCCTATGTTTTTAGTAATTTATCTTTCCTTGTTTGTAATTAATTGGATTGGTTGTGTTATTTATGGTGGTGATGGATTTGGAACTTTTGATTAACTATTGGAATACTGCTAATTGGAATTCTCTGAGCTTTTTGGATGGCTTGTAGTTGTTTTCTTACCTGACATGATTGCTTTAACAATGGGTGCTTACTTTGACTTTTGTTCCTCTGGACAGCAAATATAGACTGATGTTTTAGAAGGTTTAGAGAATATTTTGCTCACTTTTGGTTTGCTTCTGGTTAAAGGAATATCTCTGTAGTTGTATGTATTTTGGCGTATAATCAACCATCTATGCAACTCTGAAGTATATTTAAAAGAGTCCGGAATGCATTTTGTCAAATGTAAAGATAGATGTGTGTTGGTGGTCTGGGTGACTTATGGGATCAACATTATGCTACGAGGTATCATAACTGTGGGACGTTGTAGTGGGTGGGTATTGTATGGGTACCTACACTCTTTAATATGTTAAACATGGGCCCTTAATCGGCATTTTAGAGGGAGGATGGTTGAATGTTGTTTATCTCAAGTAGAAGTGGTAGCATAATAGGTAATACTGTACACATTTATTGGCAAGTATGCTGATCCCATATGGATATAATGCTAACTTGGCTAAGTGTATATGATTTATTTGTGGATAACTTTGTGTAGAATAGAATATGCATATGGTCTAAGAATATTTGAATAGGATAACGAGGGAATGGAACCATAATTACTGCCTATTTGACATCCATTAATTTATTTTATTGTTTGCTACATGACCATTTTCAACTATACATTCACACAATAAAATATTCTTCACATACACCAAAAACTTTTTCCTACTTTTTAACTACACATTTTCATGAAAAGCACTATTCAAAACTCTTTTTTCCTATTATAATGGTTGTCAACGGGCTCTTAATATCATCTTCCACCACCACCACTACAAGAAGAAGAAGAATGTAATTGCAATGTAAGAGCATCTCCAAGAGATTCTCTAAATCTCTAAATACAAGGTGCTCTCCATTTCAATGCTTAGAAATAAGCTCTAAAAGACTCTATTTTAATAACTTTTTAAATAAACAAATTTCAATACTCTTCACTTTAATTATTCAAATCATACTTGAATTGACATATTAAAAAATATGTGAAATAAAAGATGGGGAGAAATCAATAAATGTTTCTTAAAAAAATAAAAATAAAGCAAAATAAAGAGTATTGTTGGAATGTATAATAAACTTTAGCTCTCTAAATTTAATTTAGATGTTGGAGAGCCAAACCCACTTTCTATTTTAAAAAGATAAAAAAGAGTCTTCTAAAAATATTGGCTCTCTAAAATAGATATTTTCTTGTATCTAGAAAATCTCTCAAAAATGCTTTAATTATCTGAATGTGGTGCTAAAAAGGGTATTTTTACTCTGTACTTGTTATGAGATTCTATTGGAAATTGTACAACAATTCTTCTATTTTTTTGCCATTGTTTTTGAGAACATTAATAATGTTTTTCGTATCTTTATTATGTTGACACTGATATTTTATGGCATGTCAATAATCTTATATTTGTGTGGAATAAAGATTTTACAAATCAAGGAGCATAAAAATATAATTATGTCCTGGTAATACGCTACAAGAGATGAATTGAAATCACATCCTCCTTAACCCATTATACTTTTTTTCCATCATGAAAAGGTGTGTAGAGTTCATTTAAATTCATCTGTAAACAATCATCTAAGCTTGGCAGAGAACATGAATTCAAACTGTGAACTCTCAGTCATGTATTGGAATCCATATTTTTCATTTACTTGATTATGGATTGAAGAAGGAAGTACTGCCTGATATATATGCCGAGAATGAGGTGCAGATAAGACACATATTTCCTGCAATGATGAGATGAGCATCGGACACCTTAGTTGCTTCCTGCAACTTGGAAAGTCTGAATGAATTCATTCAGATGAAGTTACATAGAAAGGATAAACCGGGTTATTTCAATGAAGATTCCATGAAATAATTTTATGGCATCCTGAGAAGAGTAGATCAGTAACTTAACTGGTTTTTTTCAGTGCATTTATCACATTCTGTTCTGTATACACAATATTGCTTTCTTTAATATCTTCAATGACCCTTGGTTCATAAATCCTATATTAATAAGACATGAAGATTGTGGCTAGATGCTTGATTAGCTCATCTTCTGTTAACAAGCCATATTTATTCAGGATGGTGTCATTCTTGGAGCAGACACACGAGCCACTGAAGGACCCATTGTTGCAGATAAGAATTGTGAGAAAGTTCATTACATGGCCCCAAATATTTATTGTTGCGGAGCTGGGACTGCTGCTGATACAGAAGCTGTTACAGGTACCCATAATTTTTGTTCCATGTCATGGTGCAATCAGCATGCTCGTTTCTATTTCATCTGTTTGTTTAGTGTAATTTTCATATTGCAATGTCTTTTTCTAGACATGGTCAGTTCCCAGCTGAAGCTACACCGTTATCACACTGGTCGTGAGTCGTCACAGCTCTTTCACTGTTGAAGTCTCATCTTTTCAGGTGATATCATGTTCCGAGCATTATCGATTTTCTTATATCGTAATTCTAGAAGGCCTATAATTTTGTTCCTCTATTAGCTACCAAGGATATGTCTCAGCTGCTTTGGTGCTCGGTGGAGTTGATGTCACAGGCCCACATTTGCATACCGTGAGTTACTTTTGCATCTGTATCTATTGGAATCTTCTTATATTTTCATCGCTTGAGATTTGATGGAGAGTCTTGAATGACCTACTTTTCAGATAGATCCACATGGTTCAACTGACACACTCCCATTTGCCACTATGGGTTCTGGTTCCCTTGCTGAAATGGCTGTCTTTGAGTCAAAATACCGTGAAGGACTGACTGTATGTTCACAGTATTTTAATTATCTTAGATACATAAAATTTCATGAGTTTTTGATTAATCTTAAATCGTTCACGATAATTAGATAAATGTATTGACAGAGGGATGAAGGTGTGAAATTAGTATCTGAGGCGATATGCTCTGGCATATTCAATGACTTGGGAAGTGGAAGCAATGTAGATATCTGTGTAATAACCCAGGTTTGTTATCATTTGATAGGTTTTCCCAGTACATCCAACGCATTTAGTGCATCTTGGTTCTAGTGAAAAGTGGCTTCAACTATCCTGTTACTTTTGCCTTTCAGGGGGAGAGGGAGTACCTGAGAAACCACATGTTGCCGAATCCCCGCACCTATATTAGTCAGAAGGGTTATTCCTTTTCCAAAAAGACTGGTCGGTGTCTTCATTCCTTTTATTTTTGAACACATAATTAGTTTTCTGGCTAGAAGTAAAAGAAGCATTTTTATTAATGCTTTTTTGCAATGTGGGCAATGCTTATAAGCTATGTCAAACTCTATTTTTATTCACACATTCCGTAGGTTCCAAAACTTTTACTTACTTTCACCCACATGTTATCCACAATATTGCATTTAACCCACAACTTATAATCACTAAGCACTACCAAACAAGCACATTATTGCTAATATTTGTATTCCTTCCAGAGGTATTGCGGACAAAGATTACACCATTGAGAGAGATGGTGGAAGTGATTGAAGGAGGTGATGCAATGGAGGAATGAGCTTTTCTGTCCAAACTGCGCCGACAGTTTTTCTTGTTGAACACATTCTATTCTCGTATGAATGCAACGTGAGATATGGCATTTGATACTTGTTCACAACCAACTTGGTAATTTTAGGCTATCCAGCATAAAACTTAGTCTGAGTTGGAAACTCGTTTTCTGGTGGTGCTTGATCAATATATTAGGGATTGCAACCTCTTAGATCACCTCATTTTATTTTTCGTAGTATAAACCTAGTGAATGTATTGATCTATTGTGGCACGTTATGAAGGGCTTGACGCTTCTCCGCTTGGTTAGGATTGGCCTTTTTTTAAAAAAATCTATAATTATCACCCTCGTTTATGAATTATTGAAATGCAAGGATGTGAAGAATGTAAAATGTATTGTTATTGATAATGGAATAAATCACATTCAAGAATTTTCATTCTCAATATGTTCTGTTTTCCCTGTGCCATATGTCATCACTAATTGATGATAACGCGAATTAAGAACGAAAATGAGTTTTAGGGTAGATTTGGGATAATTTTTCTATCTTGTAAAAGAGCTTTTAGAGAAAGTCATTTTTTGGTCAACTTTCTTTAAAAGTTGTTCTCACGTCCAACAAGCATTAAATGTTGTCAATAGTACATCAAGTCTTATTAAAGATGTCCTTTTGACTGATTTTTTAAAATTTGGCATATCACTACAATTTTAAAATGTCGAAATTTTAAAGGTGACATGTTAAAAAATTAAAATCGTAACAAGGTTTGGTGGGGTTTTCACAAAGTTGGTTCGACATTATTAATTACATATTCATTCTTGCGGTCTCACAAGTTTATTCCTAATTTTTTATTTCTTACTTGAGAATAAAAGTAAGCAATTTTCTCATACTTTCATGACAAGATTTTGGAACTAAATTTTAATCTATCATCGAAATCTTTGAAGCAAATTGGGTAAAGCTTATAAAATGACACTCAAACAAGCTCTTACTGTTATTATTTAGGGCTTGTCTGGAGGAAATTTAAGGTAGAATTCTGATCGTTAGTGGGCTCCACGGTTGCCTAAAATGTGTGAAGGAGGTCAATAATGGAGCTATTATCGGTCCAATAATTGTTTAAAATTTGGATTAAAATTGCCTCCAGACAAGTACTTAATTGATATTTGTATTGAGAACTAGACATTGATGATAATACGTATGTTAATTGATTCCTGGTAAGAAAATTTGAAAAATTCAGCTGATCTAGAAAAAATGTTGCCAACGGTCAGTAAACTTTAATTTTCAATAAGGTTGTTCATTTTTAACGTTTGTTACAATTAAGTCACTTCCATATAGAGATTCAAATTCAATCCTCTTCATTTTTCCCTCCACGGGACCGGTTCAATTTTGCCCTAATTCCCAAATTCCTCCATTTTCTCTCTTTAATTCTTCAATCTCATTTCCTCATTGATTTTCAATGACTACTCAATCCAAAACCCATCTCAAGAAACCCCCGAAACAAGCCCTCAAAACCCAGCAAAAACAATGGTCCATTGCCGATTTCGAAATCGGCAAACCCCTTGGCAAAGGCAAGTTTGGCCGTGTATACCTCGCCCGTGAAATCAAGAGTAAGTATATAGTGGCGCTGAAGGTGATTTTCAAGGAGCAAATAGAGAAATACAGAATGCACCACCAATTGAGAAGGGAAATGGAGATTCAGACCAGTCTCCAGCACCCGAATGTTTTGAGACTCTTTGGATGGTTCCACGATTCGGAGCGGATTTTCTTCATCTTGGAGTATGCTCATGGAGGTGAACTGTATAAAGAGCTGCGTAAATCTGGTCATCTCTCTGAAAGACAAGCTGCCACCTACATTGCGAGTCTCACGCAGGCCTTGTCATACTGTCATGAGAAGGATGTGATTCATAGGGATATCAAACCAGAGAATTTGCTACTCGACCATGAGGGTCGGCTGAAGATTGCTGACTTCGGATGGTCTGTGCAATCAAAAAGCAAGAGACACACTATGTGCGGAACTTTAGACTATTTAGCACCAGAAATGGTGGAGAATAAGGCTCATGACTATGCAGTTGATAATTGGACTTTAGGCGTTCTTTGCTATGAATTTTTGTATGGAGGCCCTCCATTTGAAGCTGAAAGCCAGAAAGATACATTCAGAAGGATTATGAAGGTCGACCTAAACTTCCCTTCCACCCCGCACGTTTCTGCTGATGCTGAAAATCTCATTAGACAGCTTCTTGTAAAGGACTCGGCAAAAAGGATCTCTCTTCAGGAGATCATGAAACATCCTTGGATAGTTAAGAATGCTGCTCCCATGTGAACCTGCTCGAATTAAAATTGTGCATTTACCTTCTAGTTTAGGAGTTGTGTGGATTCAAACTCATTGAATCTGAAGTTTGACATTCTAACAACTTGGCGACAAAAATATGATTCTGTTCAAGGATCTAGCATCCTGATTATCTTATGTCAATGACCAGGTGTATTAAGTTGATTTTAATTATTGTCCTGTAATATTTAAAAACAGGTAGTGTATTTAGTTTTTAGCCTTGCATTGGAGTTGATATTTGCATGCTAATGGTGATGATTGTAATTTAGCTGCTGAAATTTTTAGCATCAATCTGTTTTATAGGTGTATTCTCGTGCAAAAGATACAAAATAGGTACTAAGATTTATTCTTTTGCAGAAGATACAAGAAATTATGAATAAAATTTCGCTGTGACTTGTGTTTCTTATTTACTAAACGTTATGGAATAACTTTTGTGGTGATATATATAATTCTAAATACACAAATGAATCTAGATTTTGTATACTGCGTTCTGAGGGAAACTGTGGCATTCTTTTTTCCCCTTCTATTTATTATAATCAGGTCACTCAGAACTTATCGGATGAAGTTCCACTGGCTTAACATCGACAGAAAGGCCATCCATGTCAATTTGCACAATGCCTTCACTGCCACCCAGTAGACAATCACTTAAGACTCTGATGCCTATACTACCGATTGTCCTCCTACCAACAGACCGAGAGAGAAGTATAAACTCTATCCTTTAGCTGTTTGAGAATCTAGTTTATTACTTATTTTCATATTCCCATGAATGACATACTCAGCTTCTTCTTCTTTCCAATGAAAGTTTGTCTCTTTAGGATTTCTATATATCTATCATCATTTGGAAAACATACTGCATTAGAGCATCTCCAAGAGACTCTTTATTTTTAAAAGAGCATCTTTAAATTTAAAAAGTAAAGTTTTTTATGCACTCCAACAAACACTTGTTTTGCTCTTTATTTTACTTTTTCCAACCATCATTTATTATTTTTCCCTCAATTTTCTATATATATATATAGATGTCAATAGCTAAAATATTGAGGCCCTGTTTGAGCCAAATTATTGTAAAATGAGAATGAAAAATATAGTCGTTATTGAGGTCCACATAAGAAATAGAAAATTTAAATTTAAATGTTGATATGATGAATAACAGTTATATTTTTCATTTTAATGAGATAATAATGTAGATCAAACGGGGGCTCAATAGCATACGAGTAACTTAACTAGTGGAGCATTGAAACTAGCAGTTTTATTAATGCAATCATGATAAAATACAAATAAAGAAGGAGTTTGGAGCCAAACTCACTCTCTATTTTAAAAAGTTAAAACAAAGAGTGTCGGAGCCTAATTTCAAGGTTTGACTCTTTAAAGTAAAAACATATTACTTTTAAAGGGTCTTTTAGAGATGCTCTTAGATATTTATTTGGCTAAAAGCATCTTTGTCCATTGTACGCCGTACATTGAGGATATGCCCTTCCGTCTTTAATGAGTGCGAGCTTCCTGAAAGGATTCCACTGTAAGAGGCGTCAGACGCAGGCAGATCCTTCCACTGAAGTAGTACTTCTTTCCCTGGAGGCTGTCCTGGTGGTGCTTGCTGTTTTCCCAAAACTTGATCAGGTTCCACAACCCATTCCTGGTCAGCACCAAGCTGGGGAGGAAGCATTTGGCTTGCTTCCCTTGATCCCAAAGCCTTTTTAAATTGTGAGACATGAATAACTGGGTGTACTGTAGCAGCAGGGAATTGGGATGAAGAAGAGCCGTCATATCCTGGGTTCGCTATCAGAAGGTAGACCAACATCGCTAACTGCCCATCTGCCTGACCGTGTAATGTGTTGCCGGACCAAGAGTCTAATCCTCCATCTCATACACAATCTGACCTGAAGACTGAATTTGTCGACCATCACATTTAATAGCAAAGCTGGAATTCAATCGGGCAACTATCACGAGTCCATAACCAGTTGCCCCTATATTGTGAATTGTGCTCGCTTCTCCTTGGGCTTGTTTTAATAGTAAGTTCCCTTCTACCAATTGGGACATCTCCAAAACCAAGCCAACAGGTTTTTTCCATATGGATTTCAGACCTTATTGCCAGCCATTGACATATTTCTCTTGAATCAACCCATTATCCAAGCCCTCCCCACCTCCTTCAACATCACGGCCTGCCTTCAAAACACTTCCAAATTCATCTCCCTCCATAACAGTGCATGTAAAAAGAACTTGACAATATCAGAAGTGGCATTCGACTTTATGATCCTTCTCTCTTGAACTGGCGTGGTTAGATGATAAGACAACCTTATGTTAGATAATTTCCGACCATGCAACAATTTTTCTACGTATCCCGAAATCTTTTATTTCAAATTGAATATCTTTCTTGCTATTTTGAAGTAAAATAATTGCAACAACCTCTTCAAAATGGAAAATACTATTAATTACTTCAAAAAAAACTTATTGAGGATTCTGGTGTCGGAAATTAGATTTTAAATTCTAATAAAAGGAAAATGCACATCTTAGTTATACAAAATGCACATGCCAAATGAACAAAAATGTACATTCCTTAGTTTGAATTGAAATTTTGAAGTATAATAATTCTCTGCAGATTCTTTCAATTATATACTATGTATGTGGCTTCCTTCGTTCTTTATCTACTTTGAGATCCTGATCTACAGGAACTCAAACGGGATTATGACACCAATTTATGACTCGTGTCTTCGAACAGACATTGATTTAAATCTAACCTAGATAATTGTTCAAGGTCAAAACAGGATATTCAATTTGAAACATATGGAGTATTACATGCACTACTTCCCCCATTTCAAACATTTCCAAATTGCGTTTTATTGCTGTCGACTGGTCGTCCGTGCTAACTCAAAATCTTGGATCCGCCACTGTTAACTAAAATGTTCCACATGTTTTCGGCCCATTTTCACTCATAGTAGGTCATTGGACTTGTACACTAGAGCAACTAGTTTACTACAAAATTTTCGTTTTCCTCTTGGTAATAGAATATTTGCAAGGTTAATAAGTGTAAATTGATGTACATATACTTCTTTCTGTTAGGTTTGTGGATCGCAAATATCAGCAATTAATAAAATAATTGGTCTTTGTCCAATTAATAGATTTCTATTTTTTTTTTAATCTCAACTTGACTACCGATTATGCTTCATGTAGCTGCTCTTGGAGATCTTTGGAAGCTAGAATTTCGAGCCGGAATAGTGAAGGCCACAAGCCCACAAGTGCATTATAGCTGCCACCACCTAATTTTCTGATCATTGCATGATGATGTCTCGCATCATAAATTGCAGGAAGGAAGCTGCATTATGGCAGAGGTAATTTTTGATCTTTGGGTTTAGTGGAATTTGAGTTGGCCGGACAGGTTATTTTACTGAGGCTATGATATACTCATTGAGATACTCAGAATGAGCAAAAGAGAAGCAAAATTAATTGTAAAAGAGTGTGAGGAAGTATTTGCGGCATGAGAACTGCTCCCTATATTAGATAGTTGTGAGTTTCCGACTTTTCCATTTCTTTCGATATAATTCCTATAGGTTGTGCTTAAAGAAACAAAACAAACAAAAAATTGGATAGATGTGGATATGGAATCCCGGTGATCTGATGATAAGGTTAAAAGACTACCTTTCATGTAATTACAACTGCTCGTCTTTCCAACTGTTCTTAATGCTTTACTTTAGACTGACATAACTTGCAAAAGATGAGGCTGATCAGCCATGGGGAACTGACTCTGAAGTTTCAGCTCCGCACAATATGATTCAAAGGAGAGTTTTTACCCAACATGAAATGGGGTGCAGTTATTGTTTCATGAAGAGCATATTACATTTAGTTGTAAAGCTATTGCTAATGTAATTTGGAGTTGCTTTTGTAACACATTGCAGGAAGTTGTCCTATAAAGATGTTGGCTTCCAAGATACAGGGGTAGCTGCTGGTCATGGTAATTGATATTTAGACATATTTTATGCTTGGATAGAGGAAATTTTTTCTTTACATTCAGGGGGCATCTGACCTATGAGGATCAAGTAATTATTGTATTAAGGGTGCATTTCACTGTCTCTTCCTAAATCCCCGAACCTATATTAGTCAAAGGGTGATTCCTTTTCCAAAAAGACTGGTTATTGTCTTCATTCCGCTTATTTTCGGACACGTAATTAGTTAGCCTGCTATAGAAGTAAAAGAATCATTTTTGTTAAAGCTTTTTCGCATTGTGGTGCACTTCTTTATAATTCTATTGGCGTAATTACTAATGTTTGTATTCCTTCCAGAGGTATTATGGAGAAAGTTTAGACGGCAGAGTGAGAGAGTGGAACTGATTTGAGGCAATGCAGTAGAAGAATGAGCTTTTTTTGTTCAAACTGCGCTGACAGTTATGTTGTCGAATTCATCTCATAATTAGGACTCCTATTCACATATGAATGCTGTGCGAAATCGCATTGTTTTCTTGCATTATCTTGTCCTGTTGAGTAATGTGTACCAAACATGCCCTTAGTATTTTCGTAGACAATTGATTTATTTCCTGTGTCATGTTAGATACATGAGCAACATATTTATATGTTTCATGAATCTTCTATAGTTCTATGTATCATGCTTCCTGCTAAAGCCTGCTAACAGATTCTTTGCCATGAAACTGAAGATTGAGTTGATCCTGACAGAGGATTTTGTAGCAGATATACACCTGGTGCTGTCTATGATCTTGAACCACTGGCTTCCCGGGTCGCAGGTACTGTTTCTATCCAAGCATTTACAAGCATTCGTAACAACAACATTGTTTGAGTTGATGTCCAAACAGACATCACTGCCATCTGCTAGTTTAGAAGAGAGGTGCATTTTAGAATCTGAGATAGTTTCCCATTCTGAACTCGAGCAACTGCAGATTACACCAAGTTTTGCCGGTAGCCCCAATTCCTCTGCTTGCAGACAGAAATATGTGCCCATAATTGTTAGTGTGTTCTGGGGCGTATACGTCCATGCTTCAGCCTCAGAGCATGGACCTAAAACAAAGTGTTCATAAATTGATTTCCTTTTAATACAGAGACCAGTCATTGGATGGTAAATTAATTTATGGGGATGAATTTCGTCGTAACCTGGCCCTGCATTTAGCACAAAAATACAAATTAGAATCATTTGTTAAATGGATGTGTAGTGATCCTGTCCAAACTAGAGTTGTACTGCTTGGATTTTAGGAATCATCTTAAAAGTAGAAATGGATTGGCAAAGACTCTTTGGAGCTAACATGATTTAAGGCAAATTTCAACTTTCTAGTGGTAAAGCATTCAATTTATAATTTATCCACGAATAGGGTTTCATTTTCGTTAAATTTTGAAATTATTCCTTTAGTTCTCTAATTTTCTTAATTTCAAGATTTTGCTTCCAGAATAATTTCATCAGACTACATCTGAATTTTATAAATCAAGACTCAATAGGATCAGCCAAATTATTAGTTATATATGAGTTTTTCCAATATTCTATCCATATTTTGTGAGAATCGACCCATGTTATTGTCTAGTTTTCTGGTATTCTCGTTGATAGGGTGGAGCAGCATACCTCGAAAAGGAGATTGCAGAGCAGAAATTCTTTGCAGGAAGCTCGAGTTTCTAATATCACACCAATTCCAATTTAAAACCCCATAATATTCATTCCTTCCCACAACCCCTTCTGTAAAATAATAACTCCCAACTAGTGTCCACAATGCCCAATCCAAGTCATATTCAGCTGCCCATCCCATGAAGCAATTGAAATACCTATTGTCATTGACATTAGTGCCCCTCATATCCACTCCAAACTCACTCACAAACAACGGGTATCCTTGGTCCAATACAAACCCTGCATTCCTCATTAGGTTACCCAAAACTTGCCCACAAACAAGGTTTGGATTGGATGTTTCCCACGCCTTTCCATTGGAGAAACTGTACCAATGCACCTCGAAAACTAGCTTGTTAGTGAAGGTTAGTTGTACGGGCTTGTTGAGGGTAAAAGAGAGATCTGTATCGTAATTCAATCCGGATAGTATGACAAGAATATTAGGATTTGCTGCATGCACTGCTTCAGCACCTTTTTGCATATACCTACATCATTATAAATGAAATATAAGAATAGAAACATGTACACAAATGCTCTTCAAGTTGCATTTGGAACTCGAACGAACTTTTTTGTTGGCGTCCCTTCCTCATCTTCCCCCTTGTGCACCCTCTCTCTCTGCTGTGTCCTCTTTCCCCTTCCCCAAAGCTTCTCCCTCGTGCCCCCTCCCTAATCCCCACTGCTACGTACCTGAGTATCTCTCAGTTGTCCTAATATCCTCAATACTTATGTATATTTGGTAAAGCTTTTTATAGATTATAAGCCGTGAGTCCTATAGAACGTGTGGATAAAAGTTACGAATCCTACGAAATACGTGGATAAAAATAATGTTTGACCAGCTTATAAGCTTGAAAATACTTTACCAAACATACTCATTTGGTGACTCTGGTGACTCCTGAGTAGTAAGGGAGGGGGCTCATAGTGGTCCGGACGGACACAAAAGATGAGGGCAGGGATTGTGGGAGAAGATGATGAACATTTAGCGCCTGTTTGGAAGGAATTTTCCCAAGATTTGAAGCAATTTTATAACCGTTGGGCAGCTCAGAAGTGGGGCAATTGTAAATGTTGACTTTGTTTGCCCTTCCACTAAATTATCACAATTTTCAAATATACCCTTTGAAAATAGTCAAATTATGATTGAAAGAAATGTGTATGAAGTAATTCAAAGTAATAAAAAGGTTACTTTTTAGTGTTTTCTTTTCCTAGATGTGTGCTTGGCTTTACTTAAAGTCAAAAAAAGGCTATTTTCCATCTTTTTTAGCCAGAATCATGTTGCTTAGAAAAAGCTCCATAGAAGCTTCCTTTTGGCTTTTAAGCAAAGCCAAGCACGGTACACAAAACACACTGCACGTATTAGATGCAGGACTATGGCTGAAATCAAAGATAGAAAAGTTCGAATCATTTTCATTACCCCACCTCAGTACCCGCCTCCGACCTCGCCACAGAGCTGTCCGTAGATGGTGGCTTAAATTTGCCATTCATTATGAGAACGAATATTATCCATACCTGTACCAATCATTTACATTCTGTTTTTGGCCTCGGAGTTCATTTCTCAAGCTCATGGCTACTACATTGTTGGTCTCCTCAAACATTGTGGCTACCTTGGTTAGGCCATTTATCCATATGTCAGGATTGAAATATTGATCCCCAAAGAAGCCATTTCCATCAAAATTGCTGCAACACCAACCTGGCCTGCTTATGTGATTGTCTAATATTATCATCACATTGTTATTTGCAAGACTGGCCACCACTGCCTGCACACACATTTATTACTAATTATACGAAAAAAAAACACGGGATATTTGATGTAGTTGAATAGTATTAAAGAAAGGAAACATAAAAAACACACGGGATTGGTCGAATTTTATGCAATACAGACTAGTATGTAACGCAAATGTTAATTTCGAATAGTAGGTAGGTATACAAAAGTCCACTATACTCAGCTATGTAGTGAGAACATATGAAGTTATAGTACGGTAGGAATGGAAAAATAATTCGGCCTTGCATATAGAGACGGATCTAAAACCGTTTTACACCAAAAAAAAATTAACGGGAAGAGACTGAGCCGGGAATAATTCGGCCTTGCATATAGAGACAGATCCAAAACCGTTTTACACCAAAAAAAAATTAACGGGAGGTGTATCCCTGCCCAATCCCCCTAAATCCATCCCTGCTTGAATAGTCTCGCCTTGTCGAGAAACTAGGGGTGGTGATGAGAAATATGGTACTTGCCTTGAACCTAGTTCGACTCTTATTTTTTATTTAAATTTTTTAAATTTGAAAACATAAAATGATGTTAAAAAATAAGTAACTAAATAGGCGGCAAAAGAAGATATTTCAATCCTCTCGTCCTTGCCCTGACTCTCAATTTTTCTAGTAGAAGCCTGGCCCAGTTCCCCTAAATCCGTCCCTGCTTGAATAGTCTCTCCTTGTCGAGAAACTAGGGGTGGTGATGAGAAACATGGTACTTGCCTTGAACTTAATCCGAATCTTAATTTTTATTTAAATTTGAAAACATAAAATTATGTTAAAAAATAAGTAACTAAATAGGTGGCAAACGAAGATATTTCAATCCTCTAGTCCTTGTCCTGCCTCTCAATTTTTCTAGTAAAATGGGAATAGGAGATGGGGAGGGCCGCTTCGTTGTCATCCGTATATTTAAGAGTTCACAATATTAATTAATTTTTGATCTTGTGTTGTAAAAATAAAGATCAACTATTTATTTTCTCCATAATAATAATAATAATAATAATTTAGGTTAACTTGTTTGATCTATCAACCTCAAGCTAGATAAAATAATGTTATGCATTTTTTGTGACTATTCATTCTTGATCATAAGACAGTATTTATGTCTTGAAGATGCCAAAGTGAAACATTATCAATATATTTACTAATAATATAATTATTGGCATGGGTCAATATCAATTATCAACATCACTTAAATTTTATCACACGTTGGCTTATCACAAAAGGAAAAAGTAGCTAGATGCTCTTATCTTAATTAAATTTGGCAAATTTAATCCGGATAATTTGCTCATTGAATTTTGACCAAGAAAATCAAAACGATAGATTTTTTGAATTTTTTTTTTTTTTTTTTAGAAAATGAGAAAAATTTATATACAAAATTATTTCGTTAAGAAAAATTATGATTTAAAATGATTTTGAAGAAAAAACGAGTTTTAGAAAACGGGGCCAAACATGGACATAATATCATTGTGGAAGAAACTAGGGGTGGTGATGAGAAATATGGTACTTGCCTTGAACCTAGTTCGACTCATATTTTTTATTTAAATTTTTTAAATTTGAAAACATAAAATGATGTTAAAAAATAAGTAACTAAATAGGCAGCAAAAGAAGATATTTCAATCCTCTCGTCCTTGCCCTGACTCTCAATTTTTCTAGTAGAAGCCTGGCCCAATTCCCCTAAATCCGTCCCTGCTTGAATAGTCTCGCCTTGTCGAGAAACTAGGGGTGGTGATGAGAAAAATGGTACTTGCCTTGAACTTAGTCCGAATCTTGATTTTTATTTAAATTTGAAAAACATAAAATTATGTTAAAAAATAAGTAACTAAATAGGTGGCAAACGAAGATATTTCAATCCTCTAGTCCTTGTCCTGCCTCTCAATTTTTCTAGTAAAATGGGAATAGGAGATGGGGAGGGCCGCTTCGTAGAGTTCACAATATTAATTAATACGATACATTTTCTGAAAAGTTATTATTATTTTTTTTTCAGAAAATGAGAAAAAGTTATATACAAAATTATTTCATTAAGAAAAATTATGATTGAAAATGATTTTGAAGAAAAAACGAGTTTTAGAAAACGGGGTTAAACATGGACATAATATCATTGTGGGTTAGTTAATCATGCATTATACATAGGACGGGAAAATTTCTGAAAGTAGGTGGCAAGAAATGACAGGCACGGCGAACATATTTTTTCCTGTTTTTAATAATTGCGCTAATTTTTCTTCTTATAACCAACTATATTGACAATGTTCTTTCCTAATTAGCTGATTATTAAAGCTCTCCCGAATGGAGACGAGCCAAGACTTTTTCGAGTTAATAGAGATTGATTTTCGAATGTTAAGATCGGATAAATATCGACTGCAAGACTCATCTGCCCGTAGAATACTTATTTCTATGGATGAGTATAAAGCTTTTTCGGGTTTAATGGAGAATGACTCGAGTGTATAAGCACAAGAAAACTTAACTAAAACCCGTTCATCCAAGATTCTTCAAAGTAATGGAGTTGTACATAGATTTTTTCTAGAGTCGAAGTAGACAAAACAAAAACAGAGACCGCTAAACATAAAATATATAAAGTTTGTAGTCAACTATGAATAGACAATGATTGAGCAATCATGCTTGGTTTACATTGTTCTTTATGCTATGCTACGTGACATTGTCCCGTTCGACAGTAAAAAAAAAACAATTTTTTCATCCAATGTCAGCAATGGTGTACAAAGGTAGAGCAGAAAAAGTGAGATTACCTGGTAAGCACTGATAAGCGAAAGATCAATAATGGAGGGATTATTTGCCTGTAAACCTGCGATGGATTCGACCAAACGGAGGTTATTGAAAGACTGTCTTACAGTGATTGAGGCTAAAGTGTCATTAGTGAACAAAAAAAGTGGCCAAGTTAGCCTAACACAGTTGAATCCCATATCCAAAATCCCTTTCGAAATCACATCCACTGGCTGCTTGGTTAGCCCTTCAGCCACCACCACATCGAGATGCGATACCCAATTTACGCACGCCAACTTCACGCGCTGGCCGGATTCATTTACGACCCATCGGGAATCGGTCGAAAGTGGTTGCGCCATGATGACATATAGGAGGAAAGAAGATAGAACACTACATAGGAAGAAAATGGAGGAACTGCCCATGTTATTGTTTTTCTTTCTAAGCATTGGGTAGAGGAAAAATCTTGAATCCTATTTATATGCTAAGGTCCAAAAGGAGTATAGGATGAATTATGGGACAACGGTCCTACTTCATATAGTTGTAATGTATTTGTGGCATGTTTTTGTTTATGCTGGTCTGCGACGTTTCTTTTATTCCAAGGGAAATCTGCACGTTTTCACATAGTAACTGATTTCAAGCTTAGCATGGAGTTCGACAAAAGGCATGGTATAGTGCCTTAAAAGATCAAGCTTGACGAGTTGTTTGATAAAGTAGATTAGATATATTATATGAACTTTATTCTGTTTATGAGTTCATCGTACGGTTTAATTTTGTTACAACTCAAAGGTTAAATGCCATGGTTGGTAGTTTTATAATACTAGTCATTTTGGTTTGTCAGACTGCACGCGACATAGAAATTATGAGAAAACCTTCGAGGTCACAGTACACAAAGACTACATCCACTTCTTTGTCCCGCCCACCCTGAAACGTGGGATTTCCCCAACATGAGACATGGTTGCCACCACGAATCTTATTTTTTATTTTATTTTTATGTTTCTAAATTTAAATTCTATTTTAAATAATTATGAATATTTTAATATCTATACCGTCTGCCCAAAATTTCTGATCAAATTGGAACAGGGAGGGCCGCTCAACCTCTATGTCATCCATCAATTCAATCTATGGGTATTTCGTAAATAGAAATTCCACCACAAAAGTAATGTGCTTTGAATAGATGTTAGAAGAAGGAAGATTACAAGTAAAGCCTAGTTTATTCGTGTACCGATAGCAATCTATCAAGTCTCGCCAACCTCGTGTGATAATTGATGTTGGAAAAACTTCAAGAAATATATAGCTACATGGCCACGCGTGCCTAACCTAAGAAATAATGTCCTTTGGAAGACATACAAGGCTGCAAACAATAATGAAGGAAAAAGGACTTAGACATGCTTGTTGTACAATATTGTTGATAACTTTGTTTACATAATGTTACGTGACATTATGTTATTGGACAGTTTTAACAAAAAAAAATATTTTTGTAGCCAACAACATTTTGCCAACATACCACATTGTCAATAAAGTAGTTATGAATGGTTGTACAAATAGCAAAATCCAAACTTGCTTTGGGGAGCAATAATGGAGTTCTTAAATTTATAATTTAATTTATTTAAGTGCGTCCCTCGGATTTAGGTGTCAAGCCGTCAGAACCAACCTCTTCCGATTGTTGTTTTGTTAATTTTGTGAAATCACAAAAATTGGATAGTATTTTATTTTTTATCAATATTATTATTCGATTGATTGAACCGTGACATAGAGTCCGTAGATGTTTCCCTTCAAGGTTTACCACGTTATATCCGATGTTCGTATTTATTCTGCTAATTAAATTTCGCACTCAGTTAAAACAACAGTAACACGGTATCAACCAGCTAGTCAGAATCATTATAAATTGATTGTAGGAAGTTCTGATTGTTGGTTATTGATAGTTATGTTAGTTAAACTAAAACTAGTTTTTAATTTATCTAGATTTTAGAATTTATAGATTCTTTTTGTATCAATTATAGGGAACTTTGTTGTGGATGATGAAAGTGGTGAAAAGAGGTAGTCGAGTTTGGTTGAAAAGTTGGTGCAGCATAACGCAAGTACTCATGAACAAGTTTGTCTGCTTCAAAAAATCTCCAAATTGGTAAGTACTTGTGAAAAGGCCCAAATCACACAATATTAAAACAAGATACAAAAGAATCGATCACAATAGAAAGTAACCGTTGCAGAAATTAAAATGAACACAAGATATGTTTTGGCCTAAGCCCCGGAAGTTCGACAACCGGATCTAATGCCTACATCCCCCGTTGAGCATCCATTAAATGGATAAATGTTCAGTTGCACTAATAAGCCCAAAATGGCAACAATATTACATATCGTTCTTCAAATACAAGAGAAAAAGGCACAAAAGCACTTATCTCTAAAACATCAAACCACAAATCGAACGAAGGAGTCACAAAAGACAGCTTTCAACAGCCTACTGCACTAAACCACTGCAAGAAACCCTTTATTCTTACAGCTATCACAAAGACAACGGATTATAGAGGCTTAACCACTAATAGATCTCAGTTTACAGGTTCATCATAAGGGATGAAGAACACGAAGACCTCTAACCCTAGTTACAAGAAGAGAGAGAGAGACTCAGAAGAACCTAGAAGAAACGAGAGAAGCCCAAAAGCCAAGATCAATAAGAAAATATCTCGAGTTTGGTATATATATCACACACTAACAAACCACAGATCCAAGGGCCAGCAAGAGACCACGTGTCACCATCAGAGGATAAGTTGCAATACTAAAAGAGTTGCTCTTTTGTAAAACACGACTTCAACCAATTTTGGAAGGACACATCAGAGATCAGGGGTTCGAGCCTCAACAACTTGTTCTAAATTCTTCACTATTGCTTCTCTATTGTTGTATCTTCGATTTGTAATATTAAAATTAGCTTAGAGCAAAAAGTTCATTGTTAAAAGTAAATAAGTAAGTTAAAGAATGCTGCTGGTTTTTGATCAAGGCCAGAAACTTTCAAATCCACGTCCATGGCTAACTCGCAGCAAGATTTGCTGCCATATACTCCCGAAAAGGATGATGATGAAAGTTCAAGTGATGATGATGAACTCATGCCATTGGAAATTAATACAAACAGGATAAATCCTTTCTGGACTCAGTTGGATATATATTCCGAATCAGATTAACTCACACGTTGATTAATCTTGAATCGAATATTGTGATAGTGTTGTAATATATGACTTATATAGAGTGGAACACATATTTAATGAAATAAAATAGGCCGACTCCGAAGCAAAGAGGAGTGAAGTGACAGCATCAGCCTCTCGTGCTGGTAATTTACAGTTTGTTTGCCAGGGATTCTTAATAGGTTAGGGGTGTGGGGGTAGCGCCTGAGTTAAATGTTTCATTGGTCATTGTACTTTGATTAATGTCACGATTTACTCACCGAAACTTCACAATGCTTCCCACTGGCCACACGACTTTAAACTCTTGCACTCCATCACTCACCAAACGGATACCCTTTTTCTTCTCGCTTACGTGGATGACGGAATTAATACGTGGCATTTAACTCCGTCAATAATTTAAACGAGATGCCAACGTGGAGGACAAGTCAGAAAATCATGTCTCACCAAAACACACTCTTATCCCTTCATCAAAACGTCCTCAATTGAAACGAAATCAGCAGAAAGAGAAGTTCCCAACTAAAATAATCCTGAGCACCAAATCGACGCCCCCAAATCTGAACTTGAAGTTAAGGCTGCCAGAAGAAGTGAAGGCTGTGCATCTTCTCCGACGTCGAGCTCGGGCACATGGAGGGACCAAATGAAGTTAATTATGAAACCATTTTGTGTACCATTTTCACGTATAACTTCCTGAGGTGAGCTTTCTTTCATTTTCCATTTGTTGGGGGTTTCTTGATTTGTTTATAGTGATGGAAGATGGGTAGGTGATTTTGTGATGAATAATTCCCTTTAAAGTTGCTTATATTCTATGATTTACTGCTCTGCCGAAGTGTTGTTAAAATTGAATGCGTATTCTGTTTAAGGCAAAAATATTGTTTTAACATTTGGAGTTAGTTCAGTACATACTACATAAGGCAATGTAAATGGACGGTGATAGAGTTTGAGAATGATTTTTGGCCTGTTTTGCCAGAATTCAGAAATTGATTGAGGGCTCCCAATTTTTCTAGTTTTTATCGACAATAATCATATTCAATCGCCAACCATGCACATAATCTGTTTGCAAGAATATGTTCCCAAAAATTATGCTTATTTTCCCTCATGTTGTGATGTTGATTTCATTTCAATTGGGGACGTTTTGACGAAGGGATAAGAGGCGTTTTTTTGGTGAGACACGATTTGCTGACTTGTCCTCCATGTTAGGCATCCCATTTAAATTATTAACGAAGTTAAATGCCACGTATTAATTCCGTCATCCACGTAAGCGAGAAAAGAAACAGTATCCGTCCAGTGAGTGATGGAGTGCAAAAGTCTAAAGTTGAGTGACCAGTGGGAACCATTGTAAAGTTCGGTGAGTAAATAGTGACATTAGTCAAAGTTTGATGACCAATGAAACATTTAACTCGGGAGCGCCCTTGTGGTACGATACAAGGATATTTTTGAATTTTTCCTTAAAGCCTTGAATAAGCCGGGGTTAGCATATATATGATGTAATTCTATTGTTCATAAATAATACAAATCACAGCTGCTCTGCTCCTGTGGATGTAATATTGTGATAGTATTTACTTGTTTTCTTAATTTTATATCCACACACAAGATTTTATTTATTTTTTGTGCAAAGAATTTTGCTCCTAATATCATGAAGAAATAAGAATTTAACCACTGCACCTTATGTATCTTACCTTAAATGAAAATCCGAAAACTTCCATATCTCAAACTTCATGACTTGTTTTAGACGAGCTACATTTCACAAAAAAGTGGTTTTGGACTAAAGTCACATAAAATCTTGTGAAATTGGGTAGCCTAAATTCTAAAACACAACTTTACTTAAATTCCAAGTAGCAAAAAAATTGTACGGGCATCCATCGACACCTTATTTAAGTACATCTATTTACAAGTTTGATGTTTCATAATTGTAGTTTTTTTTTCTCTGCGCATTCTCAATGATCAAAATACAATACAATCATCACGCGTTCTTCCTGAATAACGTCGTATAATTTAAATTTGACACCCAATCATTCAGAAATGTAAATGACTCATAATTACCAAGTTCTCATTGTTTGTAAAAACTCAAATTTTGTGTCCTTACATTTAATTGTATAAAACCTATGTTTAGAAGCGAATTCAATTACAGCAGCAGAAGAAAAAAAAATGGTGTTAATGGTGAATGCATTATTGACTATTATTGAGTTTCAGTTACCAAAAAAGAGTAATTTATATTGGGTTTATTAATTTGTTATGTGAGTCTACATATGTGA